ACTCCACACTCAGAGGCGGATTCTTTTCCAATTCCCCTGCTCTGTGAGACAGTCACACTCACAGAGTGTCTCTTTAGAAGCTTTTATGGAAGCTTTTAAATTTGCTTTCTTCTCCCTCAGTAGTCGTGTTTGCTGCCTTTACCTTGTTTATCTGGGGAGAGGAAGGGTCTAGAGCAGTGCCTGGTACATGGTAGGTGCTCAATAAATATTTGTGTGCTGAATGGCTCCTCTCTCTGTCCACTCCAGGAAACCTAGGTTTTCTGCCAATCTGGGTAACTGTGTATTTCCTTCTGGTACCCTCCTCCCATCTGCCCAATTAATATGTCCCTCTGTTTTCAAAATAAGCTGATCACACAAAACTATGAGGACCTGACCCACCTGTCTCAGCTAATATGCGTGGGGTCACCACCTGCCTCTGCTTCCCTCACCAGCTCAGTTCGGACCTCTGCAAGCTGGCAGTCAACACAGTGTCGTTCCCACGCCTCCAGTTCTTCATGCCTACCGTTGCCCCTCTCACCAGTTGTGGAAGCCAGCAGTATAGGGCTGTCACCATGCCCAAACTCACCCAGCAGGTCTTTGATGCCAAGAACATGATGGCTGCCCCACCAGGACTGCCTTCTTCCATGAATATCCACCCGTCCATGAAGGAAGTCGATGAGAAGATGCTCAGTGTACAGAACAAGAGTAGCCAGCAGCTACTTCATGGAATGGATGCTGACAACGTCAAGACAGCCATGTGCGACATCCTTCCTCATGGCCACAAGATGGTGGTCACCTTCGTCAGCAACAGCACGGCGACCCAGAAGCTCTCCATGGCCTCTCGGGGCAGTTCCCTGCTGTATTCTGCCGGAAGGCTGTCCTCCACTGGTATTCAGGGGAGGGCATGAACAAGAAGGAGTTTGCTGAGGCCGAGAACAACATGAATGACTTCATCTCTGAACGTCAACAGTCTAGGATACCACCACAGAAGAGGAAGGGGACTCAGTGAGGAAGCCCAGTGGGAGGCCTAAGGCAGAGCCCCCATCACCTCAGACATCTGAATTCCCTCAGCCTTCAGTCAGTCTGGCGCAGGCAGCAGTGCACAGAGGGGCTGAGCTGGTTGATTTGTTCCTAGATATGTGCAGAAGGGAGCCAAGAGCTGTGACTGCCTCCAGGGCTTCCAGCTGACCCACTCACTAGGTGAGGGCACAGGCTCTGGAATGGGCACCCTCCTCACCAGCCAGATCTGAGAAGAGGATCCTGATCGCATTGTGAACACCTCCAGTGTGTGCCCTCGCTCAACGTGTCTGGCATTGTGGCTGAGCCCTGCAGTGCCCCCTCCCCATCCCTCCGCTGGGAGAGAACACTGATGAGACCTGCGGCACCGACATTGAAGGCTCCTTATAATGTTTGCTTCCGCACTCTTGAGCTGATCACACAAAAGTATGAGGACCTGACCCACCTGTCTCAGCTAATATGCGTGGGGTCACCACCTGCCTCTGCTTCCCTCACCAGCTCAGTTCGGACCTCTGCAAGCTG